TTTTTTTTTTTTTTTTTTGGTAATACTAGAGATTGAACTCAGGACCTTGCACTTGGGGTCAGGCACAGCAACACTGAGCTAAATCCCTGGCCCTTATTCTGCTTTTTAATATTTAACTTTTTTTTTCCTCTCAAAATACACTGATCATCTTTCCAGAGATCCTTCATTAAAACCTTGGAAGGTTTGGTCCCTACAGGATATAAAAGAGTAAATTATCCCAAAAACTGAAGACAAAAAATCCTGTGGCCCATGTGACAGAGGCTTGCCTCAGAATAAAGGAAAAGAGCAAACCCCACAGCCCTCCTCCTATGGTCCACAAAGCCAGGCACATTACTGGATCTCAGTATCTTTCTGATAAACACTGTTTTGTGCTGTGTTTGGTCTTGTACTAGCCTTGCTGTCCTTCCCTTCCCCCTGGAGAAAAAGTTAAACTGGAATCTGATTTCTTTACATTTATTCATTGCTGCTGGGAAGTTCCAAAAACAGCTGGTCGGTTGTTACCAAACTTGTTTCATTTTGTCCCAAATGTTTCTTCCCAGGCCTTTCTGTTTCTTTTTTTAATGTCAATGAGGGTGTGGGAATTTGACCTGGTCTGGAAATCTGACCTGGTGTGATCCCTGGACAAGAAGCAGGAAGCTTGAGAAGCACAATGGTCTTGTTGGATCAGGCAGACATATTGCCTCTGCAGCTACATTGCCTGGGTCCGAATTCCCACCTTCCACTTACTGGGAGCTTGGGAAAATTGTTCAGTCTCTTTGTGCCCCACTTTTGCAGTCTGTATGATGGGGATGAAACATCACATAGTTTAGGGTCATGGAAGAGTTAAGTGATATATACTTATGGAGAGTCTAGAACAGTGTATGGCACAAAGAAAGTCCTCAGTACATGTTAGACCTGATTGTCATGGATGTCATTATTGAAGAATATGTCAGCTTTAACAGGGCACAAATATCATTCACATTAAATCAGGACCGCTCCTACACATGTCCACAGGTACAACAGTAGTTGGTAGGGTGGGAGAACTTAACCTAAAGTCTGTTGTAGTTAATTGATTGGTTTTTTTGTTTTTTTTTGTTTTTTGTTTTTTGCTTTGTCCTGTCCTTGACCACCACTTACTATTTCCAGTGTGGACCTGACTCCTATCCTACAAAAGGAACAAGAGAAGTTCAATTATTTTAGCAGCTGTCATAAAGCTGTGTGTGTTTCTGATTCTATTTCTTACTGATGAGATAACAGGTTCAATAGTTCAGACTGTATTTCTTTGAGAGTGGAAGTTTATTACTGAAATTTTAAAAACTTGTATTTGAAATGATGCTTGCTGAAAAGAAAATGCTGTACTGATTTACCTAGTGTGAAAGAAAGCCATATGTGTTCTTGCCTTTGCCTTGGGTAAAATGGGAGACCCCACCTCATGTTCCAAAATCTTTCCCTACCTGCTACCTGGGCCTGAAATTCCAGAGATTAATTCTTTTAACTTGAAGTTTTGATTCTTGTTTATATCTAGTTAACCCAAGGAAGAATAGCGCTCAGCCAGTTTTGTGCAGTTTTACCTGGTACTGTTCTGATGGATAGATTTTAGTTACTCGTTTTACTGTAGAAAGAATAACATTTTTCTCAATTTATTTTAATTTGCAGTCATGAGGTAAACTAGCAACTTCCCCTGGTAATGAGAGCTTAATTTGGATAGAGTGAAATTCTAACTTCATTTCCTTTTATGGTTTAGGGATCTGATGTACGGAGAAGAAATAAACATTTGGCTATTTATGAACTCTTAAGTATTTTTTTCATCATAACTACCCTACTTATAAACATTTTTTATTTTGAAGTGGAAATGAACAAGAAAAAAGAAATTAAATGGCATCCAGCACATAACAATCCTAGTAAGAGTTGGTTGAAAGACTAAACCAGTATTTTCAACTAAATTGAGTCTTATCCTCTTCCTTTCTCTTTTCTTCTCCCATGGAACCAGTTTCCTCTTCCTGCTAACAATTCTGTAGTATCAAGGCCTTCCAGGTGTCCCCTCCCAGGACCCCTTGGACACAGTGACCAAGGCCTCTCTGACCTGTGTCTTTTGCCTCCATGCCCTTCCCTCCACACCCAAGGCTCCTTTTAAATCAGGTCCTCTCCTCTTTTCACTTGAGGCAGCCGCACCTATATCTTCCTGACTTCTTCCCATCTTCCTTTTTTAGCCCTTCTCATGTGCTCTTTAAAAAGCTTAAAAACTCAGGTGAATTAAGTCCAGATTTTTTGTGGGGGGTGGGGGTATACCAGGGATCAAACTCAGGACCTTACACTTGCAAGGCAGGTGACAGAACCACTGAGCTAAATTCCCAGCTAAGTCCAGAGTTTTAGTTGGGCATTGAGGTGCTTGGCCATGTGCCACCTTCACTGCTTCCTAGGCTACCTGGCATTGGCCTGTGAGCCTTTGCACTGTCTCCTTTTTATAGTACTTCTTCCATTCTATAACTATGTTCTATTTGTCTCACCCTCTCTTAAAAGAACTTATGGATCCTGCCTTTTGCATTTTTTATCCTGTATACCATCTAGCACATTGCCTTGCATCTGCCACCAGTAATAACAAAAACTGTAATAAACAGCTCAATATTCACTGCAGAAAATGCACACTTAATCTAAAGATGTGATTTTGATTGACACACAGGTGTGGGAAATGCTACTGCCTGTGTCTTACATGAAGTTATCTATGTCATTGGCGGCCACTGTGGCTACAGAGGAAGCTGCACCTATGACAAGGTCCAGAGCTACAATTCGGATATCAATGAATGGAGTCTCATCACCTCCAGTCCACATCCAGGTAACCAAATACTGCCTCAGATATTGCCTGGTGCAGATTATCCACATAAGTGATGGCTAAAAATGAAAAGAAATGGAAAATGCTAAGTTTGTGATAGACTACATGTGAGTATAATTTAAAAGTTCAATATTCATATATTCATCTACTAATAATTATGTTTAGATTTTGACTAGAGCAGATATTTTCCCTAATGTCTCTCTATAAGATATATTAAAGCTGAGTAGTTAAAAGTGACAGGTTCTTTTAAAATTTTTTCTCTTATGTTCTTTTTTGTTTCCTTTTCCTTTATTGTGTGTTTTCTTTCATTTGATACATGCACTATTTAAAATGCAATTTTAGGGGCCAGGGATTTATTTCAGTGGTTCTGCTGCCTGCCTCGTAAGCACCAGGTCATGAGTTCGATCCCTGGTACAAAAAAGAAAGAAAGAAAGAAAAAAAATAAAAATAAAATGCAATTTTTATAGACAGTTAAAATGGACTAGTCTGTCAGATGATCGGGAAGGATACCTGGTGATTGAAGTTCAGCAAAAGATTGCTTTTTGCATTTAGAAGCCTATTCTTTCTGGGTTTTGATTACTTTGAAGAACTTACTCCATTGATAGGCCGTGCCCCGTGTTGCTAACAGTTATAAAGGGGGAATGCTCTCCACCGTGGGGAACAGCCTCCTTCTGTATTGTCTTTCGCTCTTTGACTTCTCTCTTAGTGGTGAGCTTAGGGGGAGCCCTACTTATGCCTATTATAGGGGCTGCAGCTGGAGCTTAGTGGTAGAGCACCTGCTCAGCATATGTGAGACCCTGCGTTCAACCCCAGCACCAGGGAAAAAAGAAGTTTTAGCCTTTTACAACTGTGCCATATGTTTAAGCTTCTTTATTAGGAAGACATTCATATCATCATATCACAATATTATTTTGAATCATTTTCCATAGCGTGTCAGGCTTTCATGTGTGCTACAGGAGAGGGCAGTTAAAATCCACAAGCTTGAACTGTCTGAGGATAACAGTAAGAGCTAACCTTCTTGAACACATACTATAGGTCAGTTACTGGCTAAACATTTTGCATGTAGTATTATCTAAATTATCACTGCAAATCTGTGAGTACATACTTTAAAAAAAATTTGTACATGTTTGTAGTACAAAATATTTACATTCCTTGTGTGGAGTTGATACACGTAGATAACATATTGTAATTCCTTTTTTCATCCCTTTCTACTCCTCCATCTCTTCATCTCCTCATTTGAGAAAGCTCTATCTTCCTGTTCCCTATCATCTTGTATTTTGCTTTTTATTTATAATTTGAATTTCTTATATAAAAGAAGCATGATATTTAAGCTCATGAATCTGATTTATTTTGCTTAACATTATGGTATCGAGGTGCATCCATTTTCCTACAAATAACTCGTTTATCCTTCTTTATGGCAGAGTAGTACTCCATTGTGTGTAAATATGACATTTTCTTTTTCCATTCATCTGTTGATGAACATGTAGGCTGCTTCCAATATTTAGTATATTTTTAAATGAAGTCTTGGAAAGGATAAGTAACTTTCCCAGCGTCATACAGTTAGAAAATGGTGATCCACGAGGCATATTCTGGCAATCCAATTCCACACCTGTGCTGTGAACACTAAGCCTGTCCTGGGGGGAGCAGACGTTCTTGCTTCGACCTGTGCAGCTACTTCTTGATATGTTACCTGTCTCATTTCTCAGTTCACATGCAACACACCTGAATTGGGTGCTACATCTCCATATGCCTCAGGCTTTGCGTAAGATGAAACTTCACCTTAAGGATGGCCTAATTCTGAAGACATCATAGAATGGGCAGACTTCAGCCTCCTAATTGTTCAGATCATCCTAGACTCCTCATCACTCTGCTGTGACCAATGCAGTTATAATGGAAAGTAATAATAGTAGGTCATACTGAGTTATAGCTAGCATTTACTCAGTTTGTGCAGGGACTGCTTTTCCAGCAGTTGTACATGTGTGAATCTCTTTGTATCTGTCAGCTTCATGTTACTATGATAGAACATCTAAGGCAACTCACTTATAAAGAGAAAAGGTTTATTTCATTTGCAGTTTGGAGGCTCAAATTTAAGATTGGGGGACCATTTATTTGGCCTCTGATGAGGTTGGTGGGATGGCAATGGTGGAAGCATTTGTCAGAGAATATGCTCACTTCACAAGCCTGAAGGCAGAGAGAGAGACATGCTCCCAGTGACCTAAGGACATTCTGAAGGACTCACCCCTTAGAGGTCCACAGCATTTCCCAGTACCATCATGCAGGGGACCAAGGCTTTGCATATGGTCCTTTGGAAGCAATGACTCATATTCAACCACAGCACTATATAAACCTTGTAACAATCCTGTGAGCTAAGTAGGTACTGTTATCTCACTTTATGTCCACTGAGGTGCAGAGACATTAAGTACAGTAAATTTCCCTTGGCCAGTGTTTGTTAAGAGGTGAAGTTCAACCCCAGGCAGTCTGGCTTGGAGCCGGTGCTCTTAACTTCGCTGAGATCTTATTTGAACTTCATAGCAACCTTATGAGTTAGATAATTACTCTTCCTATTTTATATTTAGACTTATCTTTCCAAACAAAATCCAACAGATAAAAAAGTCAGATCAACAAATTAGGAGTTACAGTGTAAATTTAATGTAACTTCATAGAAGAGTTCCTTAAAAATAAGTGTTTTGTAACATAAAAATTGCATATAGCTCATTAGCTACTTGAAAAAGAATCTAAAAGCTCCGTAACTTAAGCCTAGTATTAGAAGCCAAGGAAAATTGAAAATTAATCCAAAAACGTACAGTGTAAATCAATAGGAACATAACATTCTACTTGTAAAGCTTTGATTTACTTTGAACTTTTTCCCGAAGGAAGGTGAAAAATATATTAAATTAGCATCTTGTATGATATATTCTATTTGACTTTCACAGTACTTAAAATATTTTTTAACTGGCTTGCCAACAAAATTTAAAATTCAGGATTTCACATAAAACTCATGGTTTCTTGCTTTTAGAAAAATTGGAAGGTCTGGCCACCAGGCAGTATTCCTTCTTGGAAGCAGTCACTGGAGCCCAGTAATTGCTGTTCTTGTCAGATGGGGCTGACACACGGAGTGAGGAGTGAGGGGGTGGTGCTGTTGTTTCTCTCACTCTTGACATGCTTCTCTCAGCTGGGCCACTGTCTCCTAAGCTCTTGAAGTCATTTGCACCCGCGTCCACTGAATGACAGCAAAGCGTACTTCTTATGCACTTTACAGACACCTCCTGAAGTATGTGAGGCAGATCAGTCCTCAGACCTGAGTCTACATTATGTAGATACATAGCTTAGACTGGGGAGAAATGACTGCTATTATTTTCAAAAGGTAATACAAGTATTATATTTTATCTGAACCGCTTTCATAGGTTAGCTTTGTATAACTGAAAAAACCTGGGAGCATAACTTCATTAAATTCAAGATAGCGTTTATTGAGACCCTCCATTGTGAAAGGTAATATTCTAGTAATTATGTGAAGACCCGAAAATAATTAAATGCTAGTCTTTACTGCCACAGGAACTCAGAATCTAGTAGCAAATAGATGTACTTCATAGGAATAGAGGACAATCTATAGCTAAGAGAATATTGAGAGCTTGAGTCTGATTAAGGGAAATACGGCAAATGTAGAATGCGTCCTAGGTGGGTATTTATGAGGTAGGCCTTAAAGAATGGGCACAGTTATTGAAGGTAGGGTTGGAGGAGGGGTTTTTCTGCCGGAAGTCACTTCAATGGAGGGCAAGAAGAGACATTTCAGGTATGCTGTGTTACTCAGGTGTAGATATGAATGAGTGAAGTAGAAGAGGGTAGACTGAGACATAGCGAGGATAGGAGGGTTCAGCCTGGGAGCAGATCATGGAGGATTTTGAGTGGCAGTTGGAGAATTTTTTAAATGGAGCACCATCAATATTTTCAGATCAAGAGTATGATGTATGATTAGCTCTTGTTTATGTGTGTGTTTTTAGGGATAGAACCAGGGGCCACTTGCATTCTAAACTTGCTCTCCACCACTGACCTACACCCCAAGCCCCCACAGCTCTCATTGTAGGAAAAGTTTCTTTTAGGAGAAAGAAGATCTATTAAGACTATTATAATTAACCAAGTGAGAAGTGCTGAAAGCCTGGGAGAACAAGGATTTCAGTCTCCCCAGGGTCTGTGACCAGTTGCCTGGGCGGTTGGAGAGTATTGACCGCAGAACCGACAGGGAGGAGAGGGGACGATGAGCTCCATTCGTGGTGTGAGGTTGAGGAACAAGAAAAGGGCTGTTCAGTCGGTGGGAAAGGTGGTCTGGAGCACCAGCGAGGGTGTAGCTGGAGGCAGAGATCTACTTCTGGGGCGTGGTTGTTTAGCTGAGGGCCACGAATGTGGAGATGAATGAGATGCCTGGCAGGGGGGACCAGCAGGACACCCAGGGGAGCCAGTGGGAGCTGAAGGATGAGCTGAGGAGGAAGAGGGTGTGAAGCACAGGAAGAAGCAGAGCATGATAACACAGAAGCACCTGTGAGTAGGGTTCTCTCCTGGTTTGGCCACTTATTTACCTACCTAACCTTAAGCAAGTGGCTTAGGCTCTTGGCCTTCCTTTCCAGTAACATAAGAAAGATAGATAAATGAGCCTAAAAGGCCCTTTCCATGAGAAAATCTTAGGAAAAAGTAAATTCAGTTCGAGAGGATGTTGTGGTTGTCTCCAAACCTTGGATCATTTTGTTCATATCACTCCTATCACACTGAGCACAGATTGCCCTGTGCTTGTGTCCCATACCTGTGCATAAATTCTCAGAGCTATGACAGTTGGTGTCGTTCCCATGCTCGACTTGAAATCGTTCATTTGTTCACTTATGCATTTGTCTAACAGGTATATGCTGGTATTTCCTACATCCTGTGATATAAACTGTGATAAGAGAAGAGTCCTTTGGCCCCAGTAGCTTAGAGGAGTTAGCTGAAAAGATGAAAAAGCAGTTATATCTGAGAAAGGAATCATTTCATCAGTGACAACACTGTATTGTAGTTAGGTTAACAGAGGAAAAACTATCTGAAATTACTTGGTTTTAAATATTTGCACTGTTATGGGAAGATTCAGATAACTCTCTAATTTAAGATCACAAATTGAGGATGTTTTGGTAAACTTGGAGTAACGTAAGAGAAGCCTGGTAAGCTCAAGCTCATCCCTCGCCACCCCTCCTGCTGGTACCAGGGATCAAACTCAGGACCTTGTACTTGCGAGGCAGGCGGGGTGCCACTGAGCTGAATCCCGGGCCCATTCGTTCGTTTTTTGTTTTTTTTTTGAGATGAGTTTTCACTATGTAGCCCAAGCTGGCCTTGGTTTCCCTATGTAGCTCAGGTTGCCTCAAACTCAAGGTGATCCTCCTGCCTCTGCCTCCTGTGTGCTAGGATTACAGGCATGTGCCACCACACCTGGCTCATTTTTGGATCATTAAATGTCCCTGAACTATCATTAATTATCAAATCATTGATGGAATGATTAATTTGATTTGTGTAGTGTTTCACAAGTAGGTGAAACAACTAAATCTGGTAGAAATTCTACATATAAGATCAGAAAGTAACAAGTGGGTTTTGAGAGATAGGAGAATTATTTTGGGTAAAAGTTTCCCACAGAAACCTGAGAACTGGACGGGGACCAAGAGATGGAGGAGGGGAGGGGATGACATAAGAATTACGATGCGTTGTGCACATGTACCAACTCCCCATGAGGGATGCGATCATTATGTACTAAACACATACTAATAAAAATTAAAGTTAAAAAATATTTTAAATGAAGTTTGAGCACAGTGTGTGGCGTAGATAAGGCTGCCTGTCTTCTGAGACTTTACTTAGCTTCAAAACCTAGATAGCAAGAACTCTACTGATAAGACATTGCCTTCCATTCTCCAAGAGGTAATCACGTTTTTAAAATAAAATTACATTTCTGATCATATATTCTTTCCAAAGAGGGGCCTGGCCTGTGAACTTTTCTTTCACACAATAGTGTAGACCCACAGTGGGGCACAGGAGTGTATAGTTATAATTCATTCATTGACGAAGCAAGCGCACACTGATTATGTTCAGAGAGCCAGACACTTCTTTTCTCCAACTGAGGGCATGGGCAGGACGCAGCTCCTGCGCTGTTAGAAGAGAGATAATAAGCTAGAAATGTCCCAGATGATGAGAAGTGGTAGGGACAGAATGAAAATACAGGCGCCTGGCCGGCCCCCTCAGGGTGGATCGCTAGGGAGGCCCTCTGGGGGGCAATGGGGAGACCAGGTCTGAAGGACGAGGAGACAGCGGTGCCAAGACCCAAGAAAAGGGTCACTGAGGCACAGGGAATGGTAATGCTTTGGCAGTGAGTGCCACAGACAAGTCCTCTGCTTCCTGCTGTGCTGCAGCTACTTGTGTTTAAGTGTAACTTTATGGGTGATATTCCCCGAGAATGAGCTATCAGGCTAGCCGTGATACTAAAAGAGGAGGCATGGAAGAAACACTGCTGGGACTAAAATGAGCATGTAAGGTGCCTGAGGTGCAGAGTTAAGTCACCCAGAGTGACCCCGAGAGTGATGCCTGCCTGCACCTTGCCCCTGCCCAGCTGGCCTCATGCTCACCAGAGGCCTGGGAGGGAGTGAGAGGGAGTCGACCTGTGAAACATCCTATCCTAGGGCAAGCAGGCTTGTGTGAAATGGAGGAGGTAAATAAAATGGGAGACACTGAAGAGCCTGGGAAGCCAGGTATAGTGCTGCATACCTATAATCCCAAAACTCAAGGTGGCTGAGGCAGGAGGATCACAAGTTCAAGCCCAGCCCGGGTACTTTAGCAACTTAGCAAGATGCTGTCTCAAAATTTAAAAGAATAAAAAGGCTGTGGATTAGCTCAGGGCAAAGGAAAGGCCTGGGTTCAATCTCTGGTCACACACACACACACACACACACACACACACACACAGAGTCTGGGAGGTGCCCCTGGAGGCAGACTTCCAGCCCCAGCCCCCACACCCTACACAGCACCCCTCTGCCTGGGGCTGCCTTTCACATTGAGTAAGAAGGCTGTGATGCCCAGGAACCTGACTGCATGCTTCTCTCATTCCTGCATCCCTGTCCGCCAGCTGCACCATCCTGTGTGGCCCCTGTGGAAGCACGCACTGTGGGCTGCCTGCCCCCAGAGATTTGCAGGGACCTAGCATATACCAGCTATCTGGTGTGCCTTCTGTAAGGAGGACTCTCCCACTACCTACTTGCATAGATTGCAATGTCAAGTAAAAGCTGTACTGGCATTTCTCAGAAGTATCATGTCTGAGGGATGAGTTCTTTATCATCTTGCAGAGCCAGTTAAAGAATAATTTGAAGGAGCCAGGCATGGTGTAGCACGCCTGTAATCCCAGCTACTCTGCAGGCTGAGGCAGGAGGATTGCAAAGTCAAGGCCAACCCGGGTGACTTAATAAGACCCTACCACATAATAAAATTTTAAAAGGACCAGGGACATAACTCAGTGGTAAGTGCAGTTGCCTAGCACAAGGCCCTGGGTTCAGTTCCTAGTACTACCAAAAAAACAAAAACAAAAACCAAAAAAGAATGCCATGAGAGATAATGGTCAAATTGCAGGAAAAGGTCATCTGAATGTGGTGGATTTTAAGTGTTAGTGTGTGCCAGTATCAGAATGTCACTACTCTTCGGTGTGTGTGTGTGTGTGTGTGTGTGTGTGTGTGTGTGCGTGCGCTACAATGTAAAATATATTATTATATCACCACACTATGATATTTCTTTTTGGGTTTTGTTATCCTAATAAAAATTGGCTCTTTTCTTTTTTCTCTTAAAAAGAATATGGATTGTGCTCAGTGCCGTTTGAAAATAAGCTCTATCTTGTTGGGGGACAAACTACAATCGCAGAGTGCTATGACCAGGAGCAAAACGAATGGAGAGAGATAGCGCCCATGATGGAGAGGAGGATGGAGTGCGGGGCGGTCATCATGAATGGGTGCATCTACGTCACTGGAGGGTACTCCTACTCCAAGGGAACGTATCTTCAGAGCATTGAGAAGTATGACCCGGACCTCAATAAGTGGGAAATAGTGGGCAATCTCCCGAGCGCCATGAGGTCCCACGGATGTGTTTGTGTATATAATGTCTGAGTGGATCCACAAAACAGATGCAGTAATCACTGTTTGAGGGTGCAGTAAAAGGAATGCAGGGTTTGGAGTCCTTGTCTGTCACATGACAGGAGATTGGTAAATTGTAATTCCTAACCCTACTCACCTCCCAAACCCAGTGACTAATGGTCAAAAAATCTTGTGAACTTGTACAGTTGAATCAGTGGGGTTAACCCTTACAACCTCTACTTTTTAAAGATGTTATGAAACATTTGACACTTGGAAAAAGGGGAATTCACAGTGAATCTTTGTCTCGGGTAGCATCAACACTGAGATAGTTAAATCATTCTATGTAATGAGATGTCTCTTAAGAGCCGTTGATGTAATAATAGTGCACAGGTTCTGTTTAGCTAGCAGACATTTGAAATGTAAAGAGGGAATCTTCTCTACCTCTATAAAATCAAGTCTTAAATGCTTTTCCCCTTAGAATTATTTAGAATGTGGGCTTGAACTTTGTATATTTTTTCCATTGTAGTGTATATAATTTATTGTTAGTATTCTTTATTTACTGACTGTCAGATATATACAAAATACTGTGCAAAAAATTGTTACTGTTCCAAGAGTTTATAAACGAAATTGAAAAGAATACCAAGTCTGAAAGTTTGCAGAGAAAATAGTCAAACACTTGCTGATACTAAGAGCTATTTTTAATTCTTAGCCTTGATGTAAATTGCTAGTTTAGGAGTCTTCACTTTAAGCATGTTGGAGAATCCTCTTCTTAAAATATAGATGCGTGGCTACATATAAAGTCGACTTTTAGAGCAAGAAAGAGTTTTGGTATAGTAGAAAGTGCATTGATGAGAAGAAAACTTTCATTTCCCAGCTCTGCCTCTGTTAGAGTTTGTGACCTGAATCATGAGCTATCTGTCATCAGAGCTTCCTGACTCCTGCACAGTGTCACTGTGGGTCACAGATGTGTTAGATGCAGTCCAAGTCCCCTCAGCCCTTGCAGCCAGAGGAGTCCTGGATGGCTGGAGTCTCTGAGCCAGACACACCTTTTTCCATCTTCCCCTGTGTGCCTACAGGTCACTTCCCACAGGGGCCATAAGTGGAGAAAATGTGGGAAACACTACTTCACTAAATGCAGCTGAACTTCTAGTTATTGATGAGGCCATCTATTTCATGCCTTTTTTTTATAAAAAAAAAAAAGACATTACTTTTCACTTCACTGAAATTTAAAACTACTTCCGTCTTTAAAACTTTTAGAAAGACACTGTTTAACACGTACATTTCAGGTGGTACTTTAAATAAACCCCTTTGCGGGTGCAACATGGTACTACATAGTGAAGGCCAAAAGAATGACCGAATGCTTTGGCCCATAAATTCCTCATGTTTTTAAAGAAAAATACCAAAAAAAAAGGAAAATGCATGAAGATGTTTATGTCTGTATTTTTATAATAGCAAAAAATTGGAAAAAGTCTACATGTTAAAGAAGAGAGTGAGCTAAAAATATTGAAGTACATTGCTATAGAAATAATTATTTGGAAGTCTATGTAGAAACATGGATGTGTCTGTAATATGGTAAGTAAAATAAGCACAATAAAAAATTGTATGCACGCATGATGTGACTGTAAAGTCTATATGCATGTGGGAGGTAATATGCAAAATAAACTGGTTGTATTAGTATAGAGGGATGTAGAATGGTTTTTAATTTATTTTTTCTTTATCATTTGTATTTTCAATAAAGACAAATAAATCACTGTGTTCATGGTTAAGAGTGCTTGAATTTGGGCCAGTTGAGTTTGAGGATGGTTTGAATTGGTAAAACAATTGAATTATAGACTATTTCAGTCTACTGTTGAATTATAAACTATTTCATTGGTCTCAAGAACATTTAGCAGTTAATGCTGGACTAGTGCTATGTTGCTCAGTAGTGTTTTAGAGAGCTTCATAAAGGGAGAGACAAGAACAGTTGTACCAGGCATGGTGGTGTGGCCTGCCTGTAATCATAGCACTTAGGAAACTGAGGCAGGAAGATCACAAGTTTGAGGCTAGCCTGGGGCCAATCTGAGCTACTTAGAGACCTGGTCTGAGAAAAAGGAGGTGGAGGAGGAGAAGAAAAATGCAGTCACCTTCCTCTCCTTTGCTGATTACCCAGGTCCTGTAAAATTTTAACTCATTTCCAACCTTTTCTGGGAATTCTTTCCTGAATGTTTTGGCTATAGTAAAACTCCCATTGTCACTGAGAATGTTAGCATTTATGAGTGCTTGGTACATCTCTTGGCCAGGTTTGAGGCCACATCTTATTCTTAGTGTTCTCAAGGTACAGTCGCTTAGTGTGTGTATTTAGCATACTTTTAAAAGGATAATGGTATTAATTATTTGTGCAGAAAAGTATTTGGGATGTGCTGAGAGCTCTAGAAAGTAGTTTATTATCTGAGGCATTTAGCAGCTACTAAAATATTATTTGCTACTGTTTATTATTGAAGGTAATAAATACAGAATTACCCAACTACTGATTTAGGAAAAGCAGAGATACATAAATTATAAAAACACGAGAAAAAATAGTCTGTGACACCATTTCTTGGGCTATGTAGGAAGGAATTTAAAAATATCAGTAAAACTGTCTCTTCATAAACCACAGGCGTTATCCTATAGTCTTTGAATCTGAGTTTTGATGGTATTTTGAAATTATGAGTCATGAACTGTTAACACTTACTTTAGTCCTCTGCTTTAAAACATAAAGTTCTCTTCAGGGTTCACTAGGGTAATACTAAGCATCTTGCTCAAACTCCTGGTGAGTTTCAGAGATTCTAATTGGCCACACCTACAGTGTTTGTATTTGTTTAGGAAGTCACTATAAGTTGTGCCTGTTGTCCACACAAGATTGCCAACATTTCAAATTTTACCTTTGGAATTCAAACTGGACTACAAGAATGTATATCTACAAGTGCCTACAGACATGAAATACATCTTTCATTAGAAAAGTCCACAAATTCTGTTGCCAGTTCTTTTCTGGACAGCTAGGTATGCAAAGCTTGGGTTTGCGGTATTTCCAAAATGTGCATCTCTATAACCCTGCTCTACCTCTTTAACTCTTCCTCTTCATTCCTTCCTCGTAGAAATGAGCCCCACCTTGTTCCCAGGCACAGGATTATAAGACTTTATGCACAAACAACCATTTGAGATAAAACTGACATTAATTTTGGTATGACTTAAAAAACAACTTGACTGATAAATACAATACAAATACAGAAATTCTGTGAAACGTGTAGTTTAATGGGTTATTAAAGAGCCAACACCCTTGTAACTGCATTCATTTTAGGAGAGAAGACTTTGCCAAACACCTGGGTCACCCTTGGGTCCTTTTGACGTCACTCAGTTTTTTCTTGGGGGGTACGAGGCAGGTGTGGCACCACTGAGCTACATCCTTGGCCCACTCTCCTTCCCAATATTGTCACCTGTGTTTCTAATTTCCTGTGGCTCTTACAAAGGAGTTACCATAAAGGAGTGGCAAGACAACAGGAATTTGTTATCTCGCAGCTCTGCAGGCCTGAGGCCCGAAGCCACGGTTCCGGAGGGCTGGACTGGGGAGACTGTAGTTCAGGCTCCATTCTTCTCCACTTTCGGTGGCCAACGGATTCCTTAACTTCGTGGCCACACAGTCTCCTCCTTTTTTTTTTTCTGTGTCAGATTGCCTTCTGCCTATTGTTAAGGTCAATTGTCATTGGATTTAGGGTCATCTGGATAATGTAGGATGATGTTCTCGTATCCAGATCCATATCTGCAAGGATCACTTTTTCAATTTACCATCACTCATATGTTCCAGAGGACAAATGGGGTGGGAAGACCCAAGTGCAACCCCTAAACACTATATTCAGCTTTGCCTCTTAATTTTATGATGTTTCCTATCCATCTCTCTCTCTTTTTTCAAACCCTAGCAATATATTTTTATAGAAGCAGGATTATATACCCTACTTTCCCAATATTGGGCTTTTTCTGAGAATGTGCTGCTGTCCCCTGCACCTCGTATGAGTTGGAGTTAGATGTAGAGATTTACTTAGTTTCAAGTTTGATCTTTTTGTCCAGACCACTTCATAGGTGGTAGTGGTGTGTTTGTCAAGTCAACGAATGTCTGGTTGTCTCTGTGATGTTAGTGGCCGTAGATGCTCAATACCTAGGTCCTTGATTCATTGAGGATTACAAAATGGTAATTCCCAATGTCATTGTCCCTTCTTGGTGTATTTGCTGAAATGCTTCTATAAAGACAAACTTTCCTTCAATTATTAGTTGGTTACCCATAGGTACAATTTGTACAGGGAAAGGCAGAATAAATATTTGATTCTTATCTTTGTTTACCAGTTTGGAAAAATAAAATTATTAGCATCATCCATAGGTGATTTATTAGATTTATTATTTTTTAAAATTGTTATGAACTCTTGAATTTGAAAACAATTAGCATTTTTCAGATCATTGCAGTTATTCTTACCGATCAGTTGATTCCATCCTGGGCCACTGGATACCTCTGCAGATTGTTTCCCAGTCCCTTTGGTTGCAACCTTAATAGTTGTTGACAGATTCTTTGCTGTCTTGTGTGACAAGATGTTCCTTGATCATTTTGTACATTTCTTGCCTGAGACGTGGAATAAATTATTTTCTAAGAGCCCTGGTTTCTGAAGCTACAGCCCCAGACACTCACTCTCTCTCTCTCTCTCTCTCTCTCTCTCTCTCTCTCTCTCTCTCTCTCTCTCTCTCACTAAGTTGCCCAGGCTGCTTTTGAATTCACAATTCTTTTGCCTCAGCTTCCAGAGTAACTGGGATTACAGATGCATGCTCCTGAGCCAGGATAATGGAGTAAGCCTAACTTTTAGGTTTTTAAAAGACGTTAGAGTGACAAGATGATTGTTGCATAAATTTCTTGGAAAGATCTGAAAGAAATGCTGGATTCCATCCCTGTCACTGGGTGACAGTCCAAACAATGACTTGGACAAGTTCGGTTTGGCAAGTAACTGGGTTTACTGGAGGTTACTTAAGGAGCAGTGGACGACCAGGGGGCTGTAGCACTTAAGGAGTCACACACACACAGTACTAGGCCACTGGTTTTACAGGAAACTAATTAAAACAGCAAAAGCAGGATCAAATCTTTGGGAAAAGTCATGTGTGCTCCACTCCTATTTCATCCTTCTCAGAATCCGCCGGTCTCAGCAGGTACTGTCCAGCCACAGTGATGGATGGATGATGGTACTCAGTTGGGTACCTATCCAGGACACACTGAACGGCGAGATGGCTGGGGAGGTGTGCGCTACAAGATGGAGTCTTTGGCTATGGTTCAGAGGACAATTCTCACGAAGAGCTGGAGTCCATAATCTTTGTCTCCTTGAACAAGAAGCTTCTCTAAGAAGGCTTAGGGCATGAACTGCACATCCTTTAGGAGCCCTGTGACTCCAGACATTCACTCAGAGTCACCAGAATCACTCAGGTGCACACCCGGTTTATGAAATTTTTAAAAAGTTTAAACTTAATTGTGCATGATAAAAATGACCATTATTCTCTTGGCTGTGTACAACTTCAGTCTTCAATTGTATTTTGTGGCTTTGTAGTTTCCAGTTTGCCATCTTGCATACTGGTGAGCCTTGAAAAGCATTTCTAACTGGGCATCTTTCCATAGTGAAATCTGCCTTCTGTGAGCCTCAGTGCTTGGTTCTTCCATAAGTTATAAATAAAGATGTTCTTGGCCATTGCAACGGATGAGCTGAAACTTTGAAATATTTTTCAGCAAGGAAGCTGCAAGTTTAATGAGAAAACAACTGCAAAATAGAACATCTGTGGAAGTAGGACACTGTCCTGCCTCATAAATCCAGGATCAGAAACCACCAAGCTTCCCTAATTTACCCTCTTCCTTGGCTACCCCTTCAAGTATTTAAACAGGTCATGGTGCTGCATGCCTGAAATCTCAGCTACTCTGGAGGCTGAGACGATAAGATCACGAGTTCGGTCCAGCCTGGGAAATATATAGAGACCCTATCTCAACACTTTCTCTTTTTTTGTATGGAGGAATCAAACTCAGGACCTTGCACTTGCAGCAGGCATGGTGCCACCGAGCTAAATCCCTGGCCCTAGAGCCCCTATCTAAAAAATAAAACAAAACAAAAAACTGGGTTTGCAGCTCAGTGGTTGAGCACTTACCTAGCATGTGTGAGGTCCTAGGTTCACTTCTTAACACTGCTAAACAAAACTTAAACATTTAGAATAAAACAAGGGAAGGAGAGCCACCTGTCCAGTTCTCCAACCCACTAGGGTGACAGGAATTAGACAAGAGTTAGGACTCAGGCCAGGTGTGGTGGCACACGCCTGTAATCCCAGCACTCAGGAGGCTGAGGCAGTGAGTTTGAGCCAGCCTGGGCAACATGGGAGTTCAAGGCCATCCTGAATTATATAGCAAGACCCTGTCTCAAAAAAAAAAAAAAAAAAAAAAAAAAAAAAAAAAAAAAAAAAAAAAAAAAAAAAAAAAAAAAAAAAAAGGACTCTATTAGGCAGTAAGGACAGCAGCCCCAAAATGGAGTCTGCTAAGTCACAACCCTTGGGGATCTTACATAAGCAAGTGTCCTTCGGCTGTCATGGACCTCCCCAGAGTGTGATCAGGCAGGTAATCAGCACATGGACCCCGCAAAGACACTGCATGAACCCTGTATAGATTGGACCCCAACAAATGCCTAGTAGTAGAGTATCCTTTACATAGTGTAGGGATTATG